CAGCAGCCAGAGCCCAGCAGGTCGAGGCTGCAGTGGCTGGGAGTGTGCCACTGCACTCCAGTCTGGGTGACAGAGTGAGACTCCAACTCAAAAAAAAAAATTAGCCAGGCGTGGTAGCGTGTGCCTGTAGTTCCAGTTACTTGGAAGGCTGAGGCGGAAGGATCGCCGGGGCCCAGCAGGTGTGACACTGGGGTGGCCATGAGTGTGCCACTGCACTCCAGCCTGAGCAACAGAGTGAGTCTCCAACTCAAAAAAAAAAAGGAAAGAAAGAAAAAAAGAAAATGCAGCTACCCCCTAGAACCTTGGCATTTTCTAGTTTCCTGTGATCCGGGTTGAGTTCTGGGCCAGCAACCAAGTGAAGGGGGGAGTATTTGGGGCCCCTGGAATCAGGGAGCTGGGGGCTAGCAAGGCAACCAGGATGCCTCGTCCACTCCTGTGCTCCAGTCCTAGGCAGTACCATGTGCATAGGTTCCCTGGAGCAGCTGGGAGGCTGGAGGGTCACAGGCCCTTGGGCCCTTGGGACTCACCTTCTCTCCTCGTGATCCCTTTTCACCCTACAGAGAAGAAACACAGGAAGGTGAATAGATGGGGGTGTGGAGGCAGGTCCATCCATGGCATCCTACTGTCCTGAGACACAGTACTCACTGGCATCCCTCTGGCTCCTGAAAGTCCAGTCTGTCCTTGCTGTCCATCACGGCCCTGAAGGGAAAGAGGCCAGAGTCAGAGGGCAAGACTGGACAGCAGCTAGCCATCTGGCCTGCCTGCAGAGAAGGGCAACAGGACAACAAGAGCAGCGCCAGGCTCCCCTGGAGCTGGGTCCAGTACCCATGTTCTAGAGAAGACTGAGGCACAGGAAATGAGGGGAGGAGGGAGGACGAAGACTGGTATTTCCTGAGCACCTCTGGGTGCCAGATACCGAGTCAAGCACCTGGCAGAGAACAATGAATGGAACCCCCGTGCCCAGCCTGGCAGAAAGGTGTTTTTCTGTTTTTCAGGTGAGGAAACTGAGGCTTGAAGGAATTTCATAGTAGACCCAACAGCACAACTGCACCCAGGTCTGTCTGGCCCAAAGTCCCTCCCTGCTCTCATCTCTCTCCATTTAGTGCTCGACATACATTCTCTCTATCACAAACATCACTTCCATTGACTTAACTAGAAGAAAGGAATTCCAGCCCCTATTTTATCTGCAAGGAATTGGAGACTCTGAGAAGCTGTCACTTGCCTAAGGTCACACAAATACTGAATGTGGGGCTAGGACTGGGAAGCCTCGCAGATGGAATTCAGCCCGAGGTCTGGAGAGTTCTCTTGGAAGGGAAAATATCTTGGGCAATGGCATGGAACCTTCTCAGGCTGGGGGAGGACAGCCTGGTTATACAGAGGACGGCCTCAGAGCTGCTTCCGGGGGGCTCTCCACTTCCAAGCCTGGGACTTGAAGCTCCCCAAGGACTAGAACCACATCTTTCCCTTTGCCCTGGGGCTCCCTGAGACAGGCAGGGACCCTGATGGTCCAGCTCTGCTGAGTTATACAGACAGGCCATGTAGGCCTGGGCAAGTCCCTGCCCTCTGGGCGTCAATGTGCTCTCAGGAAGAACCTAGCAGCATTCCCAAACTGGAACTTGAATTTCTCCAGGGATCCACAAAGATAGAAGAGGATACATTTCGCGGGGCTATTTTTAATGTTACCAAAAGCTCAAGACAAATTATACATTTGCCTACCACCTGGCATGGAACAGGCTGGCTGAAAGGTAGCGTTTCTTTGATTTGGCTAAAATTATATTATCTTGTAAAATTCGAGTGGGTTCACATGGAGTAGCAGCTGACTATTATACTGGCCTTTGATGACTAAAAATGAGAAAATGCACTTATGATTACTTAATCTATGCAATTTGTTCAATAGACACATTTTTTAAAATATGGGAGCCAGCCGGGCTCGGTGGCTCAGCCTGTAATCCCGCGCCTTTGGGAGGCTGAGGTGAGTGGATTGCCTGAGCCCATGGGTTCAAGACCCGCCTGGGCAGTGAGACCTCATCTCTACAATAAATCAAAAAATCAGCTGGGCGTGGTAGCACATGCCTGTAATTCCGGCTACTCGTAAGGCTGAGGCAGAAGGATCACCGGAGCCCAGCAGGTCGAGGCTGCAGTGGCCGAGAGCGGCCACTGCACTCCAGTCTGGGCGACAGAGTGAGACTCCAACTCAAAAAATACATATATATATGGGAACCATTGGGGAGCAGTACAAAGGGAAGGTCTTTGAGGGTAGTGACACTGGAAACAGTTGCTGGTCTAAATCTGCATTGTCCAATGTGGTAGCTTATAGCTGCATGCGGCTACATAAATCTAAATTAATTAAAATTAAATAAAACTTAAAATGGAGCTCCTCAGTCACACTAGCCATACTGCAGGTACTCGACAGCCACATGTGGTTACTGTCCAGGGCAGTGCGGAGCAGAACATTCCATCATCATAGTTCTACCGGGCAGCACTGGTCTAGACGGTTCCTCATGACTCCAACATTTGAAGTGGTGGATGGGCTTTGAGTCAAACAGACCTGAGTTCAAGTTCTTGGCTCTGCCTCCTCATTTTCTGGCCTTCAACTTCCTTATCTATGAAATGGGGACAATAATAGCGATTCCCTTACAGGGCTGCTGTGAGGATCAAGTGTGTTTAGAACTTGGCACAGGGCCTCAACACAATCACTGCTCAAAAAAGGGTGGCGATTATTATTGCTATTATTCAAGAACTCCCTACAAACAGTGTGGTGCTCCTTCTCTGAGGCTGAGCCGAGTTGAGGTCTCTCTCCTCCCATCCCCTCGTGCTGCTAGAATGGGCAGGGTCAGCCCCGTGCCCTCTATCCAGCAGCAACATCCCAGCAACACCCCCAGCACAAAGTGCAGAGGACACTTACCGGAGGCCCAGAGATACTGGCACCAGGAGGTCCCATAGGTCCAATGGCTCCTTTCAACCCTGGAGATCCCTGTGCAAGAGAGGATACAAGGGCTGCAGGGGCAGAATTTGAAGCCAGCTACAATCCAGTAGGTGAGGAGCAGTCCTCTGATGGGCATCACTCAGCTCCCATGTCCCCTATGCTCACTGCCAGCACACTCTGAATTACTGCAGGCCCAATGCCCACAGAGGCAGAAGCTCACCTGGGCACCCTTCTCTCCAGTGCGGCCAGGTGGTCCCTGAGGCCCTGGAAGTCCCTGCAGATGGAAACACGACTAGTGAACTCTTATTCTAGAGTAGCCCCTTCCCCTACCAGCCTCCTCCAGGACTAAGGCAGACGTACCTGAGTGCCAGGCAAACCCCGGGCTCCAGGCGCCCCCTGCAAGTCAGAAAGGGCAGACTGGGACACAGCAACCACAGCCAATCTGCCCCACTGGCCCTGGCCTGCTGGCAGAGCTGGGAGACATCTGCCAGCCCAAACTCAGGAGAGCACCCCAAAGAGACCCTGAGGGTCAGAGAGGCGAGGGTTGAAGCCAAGTGTCCAACAGAAGCAACAGCAGGCCAGGGCTCCTGCCTGACCCTTGGTCCCAGAGCTGTGCCTTGGGAGAAGGGGGCAGGCAGAGCCTTGAGGGTTTTAGAGGTGGATGTAGTAGCTTATAGCTGCATGCGGAGTGGGTGGCTGGCTAATGGGGGGTGGGCAGACAAAGGTAAGGCTGGAGACTCACCTGAGGTCCCTGGACTCCCCTTCCTGGAGGCCCTGGCTCTCCCTGCAGAGGCAGAAGGACAGTACCTGGCTTGAGATTTCCCAGCCCCTTCTCCTCCACCCTTTTTCTCCCTGCCCTGTGCCCTCCTGTCTCCATTTCCCCGCCCTGGCTCTCCCTGCAGAGGCAGAAGGACAGTACCTGGCTTGAGATTTCCCAGCCCCTTCTCCTCCACCCTTTTTCTCCCTGCCCTGTGCCCTCCTGTCTCCATTTCCCCACCCTGCCCCACCCCAGCCACATATAGCTGCTGTAGCCCAGGCCTCCAAACTCACATACCTGTACGCCCTTCAGTCCAGGGGGCCCTTGGACTCCCGGCAGACCAGGCTGCCCCTAAAAGATGCAAGGTGGCCCATGGAGTACCCCCTGGCGAAGGGGGGGCAGGAGGGAGAGAAGGCAAAGCCCAAGCAGAGAAGGACCAGAGGGCAGGCAACTCACGGGTTTACCAGTTCTGCCCACGCCTTCCAGGCCTTGGTCTCCTTTGGGTCCCGGCCTCCCAGGCAGTCCTGGCAAGTCAGTCAACGCCCCCTGCAGGCTGGGGCAGGCAGTGCAGCCATCACCCTGGTCAGAGATGGGCACAGCCAGAAGCCTGTCAGCCAGGACGGGCAATCAGGCCAGAAGCAGGCATCACAAAGGGGTCCATGAGCCCCCTGGGACCTCTGCTCCTTTAATACCCCCACCTCAGCCTGGGAAATCAAAACAGACCCTGACAATCCCAGCCATGGAGAAGAGGGAACAGCTCTCAGTAATTCTGGTATCCGTTAAGGTCCAGCTGACCCTGCAGTCCTTGACCCATTGGCACTCCACCTGATTTCCTTTTGTTCACACAACAAACTACCCCCTCTCCACCGGACTCACCTTTTCTCCTTTTGGCCCTGCAGGTCCCCGAACTCCAGGCTCTCCCGACAATCCTGGCCGCCCCATGGTGCCTGGTATTCCGGGGTCTCCATGATTCCCAGAATCACCCTGTAAGGAGGAACGTTCAAGGAGGGCAAGAGTGGCCCAGCTGGGGACAGGTTGCCCCCTTGGGACCCACTCACAGTCCTTGGCTGGGGCTGAGGGTTGGGGGCTGGGAAGAGAGTGAAGAGTGGGTACAGGCCAACCAGGAAAAGGAGGTGAGGGTACATCGAGAGGAGGTGATGCCCACCCGCAGACCCGTCGGAGTTCTCTCACCTTCTGCCCCTTCAGTCCACGCTCTCCAGGCTTGCCCTGAAGAGAAAGCATTTCCAGTGCCCATTTGCTCATGCTGGACACCCCTAAGTACCCAGCATTGTGTTAGGCCTGGGGATACAGCAGTAGACAAGACAGGCAAAAATGTCTGCTTTCGTGCTAGTGAAGCTAAGAAAAGACTTGTGCCAGACTCCCTGCCTGGGTGACCTGAGCAAGTTCCCTTGTCTACCTCTGTGCCTCAGTTTCTTCATCTGTCAAACAGGGATGATAAAAATAGTATAGGCTTTTGCCCTGTGGGTTCTTGTGAGACTAGACAGGCTAATATGTGTGAAGTAGCATGTGGCACACAGTGTCCACTATGTGGACTACAGCTGCTACTATTAAAGCAGTAACAATGGTAATAAGCACAGTGAGTGGTACCTGTCATTTCCTGAATGCTTACTGTGTGCACTAAGTGTCTCACATACATCATTTCTTTTTTCTTTTTTTGAGTTGGAGTCTCGCTCTGTCGCCCAGACTGGAGTGCAGTGGCATGCCCCCGGCCACCACAGCCTCACCCTGCTGGGCTCTGGTGATCCTTCCACCTCAACCTTCCAAGTAGACGGAACTACAGGCACGTTTTACCACACCCAGCTAATTTTTTTATTTATCGTAGAGATGAGGTCTTGCCAAGTTGCCCAGGCGGGTCTCGAACCCGCGGGCTCAGGCAATCCACTCGCCTCGGCCTCCCAAAGAGCTGGGATTACAGGCTGAGTCACCAAGCCCGGCCTCACACACATTATTTCTAAGCTTGACTACAATACCATGTGTAGGAAACAGAGGTACGGAGAAAAGTGACTCGCTCAGTTGAAGATCTAGCAAGAGGCAACACTGCTATTGAAACCCCGATTCATCTGTCCTGGGTTGGTGTTCTTTCTGCCCTCTCTGCCATGCTGTGTCCCAGGATAAAGGGCAGAGGCCTGTGAGGGCAGCTCCCACTGGAGTCAGAGTCACTGACCCCTCCACATACTCCCGTCTGCCCCCCATGCCCAGGGAGTCAAGAGAGTCAGGCGGGACCCCTCTCCTCTCTTGAGCCCTGCCTGCATGCCCCCTCCAGAGGCCCCTGCTTACTTCCCACCTCACCTGTTTTCCCGGCAGGCCAAAGCCTGGAGACCCAGGCTCCCCCTTCTCTCCAGCCGGGCCAGGCAGGGCCACCGCATGGATGCCCCCATCCTGAGGGCCAGACAGGGCTAGGCACGGCTCACAAGGCTCCCCCTGCCGAGCAAGAACGCTGGGTTAGGGGACCCCCATGCCCTGGTGCACCAGGACCAGGCCTGGGATCTGGGGCTGGGGCATGTCACTGGATCTGACACATCAACTATGCTGGGTGAGGGGTATCTTAGGAGGGATTGTGGGAGAACAAGGAAGAAACAAAGGTGAAGGCCAAGTCAGCAGGGGTCATGCTGAGGACTCAGACTCGACCCAAAAGGTGGTGAGGAGTCCCGGAGGGTTTGAAGAAAATTAAGACGAGCATCTATCTAGAAAGTTCACCCTGGCTGCAGCATGGAGAAGGTCCCCAGACTCACCTTTGCCCCTTTGATGCCTGCTGATCCCACTGGCCCTGGTGGTCCCTAGGTGGTAAGAAGTCATGTGTGATGTCCAGCACGTGCCTGGGCCTTGCTGAGGCACAGCCCAAGCCTGTCAGCTCCCTGGTGGTGGGCAGCACCTCCCACCTGGTCCTCCCCCGAGCTGTTGCCAACCAAAACGTACTCACCGGACTGCCAGCTGGCCCTGCCTCCCCGGAACTACCCTGAGAGCAAAGAAGACAACACATGGTCAGAGGGGGAATGGGGTGTAGGTGCTGGAGTAACCCCAACCCCCAAACCACAAAAGCAGTCCCTTGGGACATCAACACTATCCTCTCCTTTCCTGGCCAGGGAGACCGAGGCCCAGAGAAGAAGAGGGGCTTCCCCAAGATCTCCAAGGGAGTCTGTGACCAACCAGGGACTAGAAGCCATATTTCTGCCCCCAGTTTCACTTCATGGAATCCCAGCCCTGCCCTTACCCCAACCTAGCACACAAAGATCATTCATTCACTTTTCCAACAGCTATTCATTGGAAGCCTTCACGCAGGGCACACTGGGCGAGGTGCTGAGTGGATAGCTGTGAGCAGCACAAAAAACACGCCTTGTGGAGCTTACACACTTAGAACTTTTTAAATAATAATTTTAAACAGTGATGAGTGCTATGAAGGAAATAAATAAGGTGATGAGACCGAGTAAGTGGAGGAGGCTATTTTAGACAAGGTAGTCAAAGTGTTAACCCTGATTATTATCAGAAAGGTGAGAATAAGGTCAGCTAATGAAACAATAGGGGGAGAATAGAGAGAAAAACGTTCTAGATATTTCTAGTGGGTACAAGTACAAAATCTGACAGGTGGAAACGGTTTTGACATATTCCAGGAAGGAAGGTCAGTATGGCTAAAACACAATAAACCAGAGAGAGAGAGAGAAGGTAGGCAGGGGCCGGGTCGTCTGGAGTCCTGTGAGTACAAAGCCAAGTCACAGAAGGATTCTAACTGGGAAATACTGAAATCTTGAGTTCTACAAAGCCACGTTAGCTACCAAATGAAAACAGAACAGTGCAGGGTTGCAGTGGCACTGGTGGGCCAGAGGAGGCGCTGTCATCCAGGTGAGAGGTAACAAGTATCGGAGATGTCATGGACAGGACATGCTGGTGGGCTGGAGGGAAGGGATGCTGTGGGTAGGGGGGCATTGCTGGGTGAGAGGGCTGGGTGTGAGCCATCGACTGAGATGGAGAAGCTGGAAAAAACAGCAGGTGAGTGGGGTGCAAAGGTCCCACATGAGAAGTGGCAGGCAGGATCTGCCTGTCATAATAGAATCTGCACAGATATTTTAATGTTTCTCACACTTGAGCACTAGTCCACTCACAGGACCCCTCATTTGAGTGACACTGCACTAGAAGTTCAGGGCTGCCATATGTCTCCAAAGCAATCATAAAGGGAAATATTAACACGGGCACTGAAATCGAGCGACCCAGCTAAAAAGTGAAGATCACAGACTCTGGAGCTAGACTTCCTGGGCTCAGTCCCAGTTCTGCATCCAAATACCTGTGTGTCTTTGGGAAATTTACTTGGCCTTTCTGTGCCTCCATTTCCCCATCTGTAAAATGGGAATCATGGAGTATCCATCCCATAAGGATTGGGAGGACAAAACAAGTTAATACATGCATAAGACTTGAAAGAGTGCCCGGCACATATCAAGCAGTTAAGAAGTGTTAAATATTATTTCACTGAATGTGCTTGATAGTTTTAGATTATCATTATTTTAAAAATACAACATTAAGGAATTATCTTAGAGAACATGATGGTTCTCAGAAATCAATTATTCGCCTCCAGTCTGCAAAACACTGATAAATATATTTCACTGTGAATTTGCAGTCTGATCCTTTATCTATACTATCCCCATTTCCTGCCCAGGGCCACCCCTTCCCTTTCTCCCTGCCAAGGAGCCCTAGTATCCCTGATATCCCAGGCCTCACCTTCTCTCCTTTCAGTCCTGTTGGCCCTGGCACTCCAGCCTTCCCCTGAAAAACAGCCAAGACAGAGTCACTCCATCTCCCCACTCGTACCTCTCGAAGACTCCCTGGGTCTCAGCATCCAACCAGAAAGAGCAGGGCAAGATCAGAATTCTGAATCTCACAACCCTGCAGGTAGCTGGACAATGTCTTCAGTGACACAACTGGGTACTCTGAGGTACAAACGGAAGTCCCAGGGCAACACAGATGTGGAGAAAGGGACCAGGATGCAGGTCTGGGACACCTGCCTCATGGCCTCCTTCCTAGTCCCTGCCCTGAGACTTGGGATCTGAAAAGCCAGGAAGGCCACCAGGATGGCAAGGCTGGGCTGGGCTGGGAGAAAGCAGTCACTCACCGGAAGACCAGGCAAGCCGAAGCCAGGGGAGCCCACGTCTCCACTGGCCCCTGCAGAGGACCCAAGATGCTGGGCCCCTACAACCGAGCTGCAGGACAAGCAGGACTCCCCCTGGGAAAGGAAGAAAAGGATAAGAAATTTTCCTAGGTAGGCAGAGTAGGGCAGCCAGAGACTGGAGCCCCCTTACCTTCTCTCCTTTGATGCCTTGGATGCCAGGATCTCCCTGCAGAGAAAAAAAGGTTGTGGACTGAGATGGGGCATGTCAGGGCACCCCAAACTCCCTGGCCATATAGGAGGACAGCAATGTCACACACACAAACCCTTCAAATACCCATGGGGTTCAATGCAGCTCTCCAGAGGCTGGGCTCATCAAGTCATATAACACACGGGGTAAATGAAGCCGGGTCAGGTTAAACTACCCCAGTGGAAATTTCTTGCACATACCCGGTCGCCTTTTTGTCCAACAGTTCCCAGGTGCTCCTGAAAGAGAGAGTCTGTGAGGGAGTGGGGTGGGCAGTCCAGGCCAGGACCCTAACCAGCCCTGCCCTTGCCTTTCCTCCACCCCCAACTAATATCCAATCCCAGGGCACAGCTGCACTCACAATAAGGGTGGGCTCCACCTCAGTTTGCCCAAAAGGCATCTTAGAGTCTTCTGGAGAGCGCTGGGAGGCTGTCATGGAGACCTGGGGTGGCACTCTAGCCAAGCCCTAAGCTCTATGGTACCATGATAGAGCCTAGACTCTCTACCCATAATCTCTCTGTGGCCATGACAAGCACCCAGCCCATCTGCCCAATTCCTCGCTAAGCTCATGCCCCCAGGTTTCTTTGTGTGTGAGGTGGGTCCCCCAGTGGCCACTCACTCTGGCTGGTGCAGGATCACCTGGTTCCCCCTTGGGCCCAGGCTTTCCAGGGAGCCCAACAAGATTCTGGAACCCTTCAGGCAGTGTTGGACACACTTCGCAGGGGTCACCCTAGCAGAAGGGAGAGGTCATGAGTGGATGGCATGGACTGAGACCCTGGGGAAGACAGGGAGCCCCTGCCCACGCCAGCTCTAGACATTGGTTGGCCAGCATTCTACCCCAACATCCAAGGGGACAGCAGGAACGCTGCAGGGGCTTCCTGTTCAACTGACTCATTCATTCTGTGTATGATTCCTGGACATCACAAAACTATATCCTCACAGCAAGCCATAAGAAATGACTGTATTCTACTGACAGATGTGGAAATTTGAGCTAAGAGAGAAGCTAATTGACTTGCGTGTTCATAAGCCATCTGTGTGGCAGAGACAAGGTTTGAACCCAGCTAACCACCAAGTTAGGCTCTTTGTGTACTAATCACACATGCACACCACAAGAATAAAGGGTTGGAGGTCCCCTAGGGAGGTCTAGCACCCTGGGCCCAGGGCCTTTGACACTCAGTGTCACCTGCAGAGAGGGGCTCCCATTACCACCCCAACCTGAGGAAACCAGGCCTGGGGCTCACCTTCTCTCCCTTCATGCCTGGCTTCCCCTGTTGGAGAAGAAACAGTGGGTGTCAGTGCCAGGGCAGAGGGCTGGTGTGCCAACAGAGGGTCTGAGGACCTAACCGCCCCCCACCGCAGAGGCCTTGGAAAAACAGACCCTGCATGGGGCACCACAAACCCCTATCCCCACCAGATTGCGTCACTCACAGGTTTCCCACCAGGGCCTTCCTTTCCCGGCATCCCAGAGCTGCCCTGTGGTCAGAAGAGAGGTTAAGTGGGGATGTTTCCTGACCAACATGACCCCAGCCCCTTCACCCTTCCCCATTCAGCCCCCTCTGAGGATGGCAGGTCAGTCGCTACCAAATCTCCCATCTCCATCTGGTCCATTTGGTCAGTAAACCTTCCCTTCCTTTCACCTGCCCTCTGTGTTCTCCAAGTCCTTCTGGGTTACAAAGGGAGGAAAAAAATAAACCCTCTATGTACCCCTTCCCTGGTGCAGCAGGTTAGGAGGTGATTTGAATGACCCCAGAGGAACCACAGCAGTCAGACAGAAATTTCCAGGGCTCTCTGTGCTAAAATGAACTTAGGCTCCCCATTGAAGGCCACTTGAGTCGTCACTAGACTTAGCCCTGCCCATCCCATGCCTGGAATGCAGGCCAAGCCACCTACCCTAGCAAGCACCGGCATGAGGTCACTCCCCACCAAGGGGCCTGGCCAAGCCCAGTCTCTTCAGTCAAATGCCTGGCCACTTCCCCAGGACACGCCTGCTGCTCCGATCCTGTTCTCCTCCCTCCTCTAGCCAAGCATGGAGCTCCCCCATGTGCCTGTGCTCCTGCCTGTGCTTACCTTGTCTCCCTTAGGGCCTGGCGGGCCACCTGGATCCCCCTGAGGACAGAAACAGTGTCAGGTGGCAGTTTCCCAGGGGCCTCTCACTACAGGGAGATCATCTACCCTAACTCCTTCCTCCAACCAAGACCCTGGGACAGAGTCTTATATCCTCCACCCTGGCCAAGGGTCTCTGAGAAGAAGATCGCAGGAGAGGCAAGGGGGTACTCACCGGGGTCCCAGGCAGTCCTGTCCCAGGGGGGCCAGGGAGGCCAGGGGGGCCAGGCTCTCCTGCCAACCCCTCAGGCCCAACAAAGCCAGGATCTCCCTGGCATAGACACAAGGAGCACGTGAGAGAGCCACCACCTCAGCCCTGTCACCCACTCTCCATCCCACCAACAGCCCAGCTCACCTTCTGCCCTTTGGGCCCGATGACACAGATCTCTCCTGGCCGACCCTGTGGGGAAGAGGGGAGGGTATGAGAATGGCAGACAGGTAAATACTCATCTGTCCCACTCTCACTGCCCCTCCCCCAAACCAGAGTCCACCCCAAGGCCCCAAAGTCATCAAATGTCAACTTCAGGGCATTAGAGGCTGGGAGTCAGGAGGACTGAGCTCAGGCCCATTTCTGCCTCCTCCTTGCTGTGCCTCCTGGGCACGGCTCCTCCCCTCCCTGGGCCTTTGCTCTCCAGGTCTGCTGGGTACTGGACAAGGCAGCATGATGGAGAGGAATGGGATGGGGGCTGGAGTCTGAAGGTTAAATACAGCATTCCCAGTTCCCGTGCTGGGGATTGTGGTGGGGAAGGGTCCCAAGCACCGTACGTCTCGGCCTGGTTTTCCCGGCAAGCCCTTGATGCCTCCGTCGCCCCTCTCGCCTTTCTGGCCCTGGGGAAGGAAGAGGCAGAGTGACCAGGGTTGAGGAAAGGCCTGGAACAGCCAAGGCAGCTCCGTCTGGGGGAGAGACAACTGCCTTGTGTTGTCCTGGCCTCTGCCTCCCCCTGAGGGTGAACGACTTCAGTCACCACAGGAGGACAGACAACAGGAAGAACTTCCAAACCAGCCAGACCACTCACTGAGGAGTCTGTGGCATTTCCCTTTATGTCTGCTGGGTACTGGACAAGGCAGGATGACAGAGAGGAATGGGGGAGGGACCTGCCAACTCTGGGCTCACGGGCACCAACCTCCCTCCTCATGCAGGGCCTGTGGACCTCCCTGGAACCTCCCCCTTCCAAATCCAGGCCTGTTACCTTCTGGCCTATGGAGCCCGGGAGTCCTGAGGGTCCCTGAGACGAGGAAGGGTCACAAGAAAAGGGGTGAGGAAGGGAGGGGAAGGCTGGGTCAGGTCCCGTCACTCCTGCCCTGTCCCTGGTCCCTCACTCACCAAGGCTCCAGACTCCCCCTTCTCTCCCTTTGGGCCTTCTGCACACTGAACAGAGAGATGAGGTGTTGGGAGGCCCCAGGGTAGCCTGATAGGCTGCCAAGGGCACAGCCCCCTCCCCAAGGCCTGGTCCCATATTGGCCCTGAAGCAGTCTTTACTTCCAGGTCTTACCTGAAGCGGAGCATCCGGGGAGATTCGAACACAGTCATTGCCCTGGGGGTAGGGAACAAGGGATGAGGGGTGGGCCTTCTGGGGGAGTCACCCTAGGCCTGCTGTGAGGAAGATAAGCCCAGGAATCCCACAGTATCAGGTACCCCTAGAAAATAGAGGCTTCAGTACACAACCCCCTAGAAAGACCGTGGCCCTCATTGCCACCTGGGCCAGGCTGCAGGGTTTTGGCTGAGATGATGGGCTGATAGCTCACACCTCACCCCACCCCAGGGCCCAGCGGAAGAGGATCCTGAAGTGGGCGTGGCTGAGGCACTTACCCGGGCTCCCTTCTCTCCTTTGGGGCCTGATGGACCAGGAAGGCCCTGATCTCCTTTCCCTCCCTGGGGGTGAAACAGATTGGAGGCTGAGATTGGAGGAGGCATATGGGAACCTCCAGGAAGCACTCCCTACTCCTGGTCCCCCCCATCCATCCACCACACACAGGTGTGCAAATGTACACACATGTGGGCGGGGCCCAGCCCCACCCCAGCCTTCACTATGCACACAGCATATGGATTCCACACCATTCATCCACGTGTCCCTCCTACCCCAAGAGGCTATTCAGCAAATCTATGGTCTCAGGAGGAGGGTACTGCCTCCCCGACACCCACATCCAGGCTCACAGTGCACACATCTAGAATCCCAAGGACACAGTGCACAGACACAGGTGTGGGGTGGCAGACACTCGTGTCAGCTGGGTGCCTTAGTTCAAATCTTATACTTGCTAGCATGGGACTCAGGGCAAGTCGTGTCACCTCCCTGAGCCTCAGTTCCCTCCTTAATAAAATGGGGTTCACAAGCACCCAAGAACAACTCATATTTGCATACACTCCCTCCCCATCACTCACAAGCTCTGCTGCCCCATAAGCCCCACAGGTATGTGGGTTCAACCTCAGCTCCAGTGGGCCACACACGTGTGTGTCCCTGAGATGTATGTAGCCATATCCACACACAATCACTCTGATATACCCAGTCAGACACGTGGGCACAGCTGGGCCTCAGTTTGCCCTGAAGCCAAATGATAGAACACTCCCTCCAGGATGAGCACTGAGGAGCTCAGGAAGGAAACAGGTGTGCACAGGAGCGGCCCAGGGTCTGGAACACACAGTGGAGCCTCAGAAAAGGGGAGCTCTCAACATCTTTGCACACACACAACCCCCTGCTCTCTCCCACACACATATACTTAATCACCCCACTCATATGTAGGCTCAGGTAGCCCTGGTAGTAATATATGCCACAGGTCACATACTATGGGATGAACTGGGGTCTCTAAAGGGGATGAGAGTATACTGTTTTCCATTAGGACTCACCTTGGGACCAGAGGGACCAAGTGTGACCTGAGCAGACAGAGGAGAGAGCATTATATATCAGGGACGGAGACAAAACCAGAGGCCAGAGAGATCAAGACATTTAGACAGGGTCGCACAGCATGGTGGCAGGACCAACAGCCTAAATCCCAGCTTGCGTTCTGCCTCCCAGGCAAACTGGCATGCTGACTCTATTTTCTCAAGCTGTAAAACTTGGAGAAGGTCTAATCTACCTTCTCTAAGCTGGTTTTGGCTAGCCCTGCCCCCAGGTTGCTAGGAAAACATGGCTGCTCAGTTGCCGTGGTAACCTCTGCACATCTGGGGACCATCAGTCTTACCAGATTTGGTGAGGGGCTGGATGGAAAGAAGGGCAGGGAGCAGAGGGGGTACGATGTCTCCCAGAGTCGGGGGCCTTGGAGCTGAAGGAACTTAGGGTTGTGCCCTTGGCAGACCAACGTGGCACATCAACTCAGAACACCAGGCGTTCAGGGAAAGATGCAACTCATGCCAACCACAGAAGAGGCACAGTTGAGTACCAACTGGGCTCACACTGAGCCCTCTCCCTTGTGCTCAGGACCCTCAGAGGAAGGCTGGGCCAGAGCCAGCTAGACAGGGATAGCAGGCCCTGAGCCCACATGTGGCTGTGGGGGCCAGCCCTTCCCCTTCTCTGGGCCTCTGGGATGACGCCTGACGCCTACTATCAAAGAAGGCTGAGATCTTCTGGGGCATGCAAAGCCAGGGTCAACATCCAAGGTCCTGGCCCCGCCATCCCCCACCCCACACCCAACCAGCCCTGGGCCCCAGGACATGGCCAGATCCCAGGGCAGGAGGCTTCCTTCCACACAGCCCTGGCTTGGTGGGGGTAGGCATGGGGATCAAGCCTAGCGCCGGAAGACGAGTGGGGGGGGGGGGGGGGGGGGAAG